CCAAATTCCAGATAAGGGAGACTTAACCTGTATATTGCATGGTACCAATACCTCTGGTACTCAAGGTATAATGATTATTAGTAATTGACAGTCTCATCATCCATTAATGTGTCTAATCCTCATTTTCCCTATTCAGTCAGTCTTTTTGTGGATTCTGGAAAAGGCTTGTTCTTATTTTCAGATTATTGTTGGAGATAAAAGTCCCTTTCAGAAAAGCCCTGTGCAGCATTCCATGGATGGATGAATAAGAAGTAGAAACATGTCAGCTAACCAAGCTGGGGCAAACCTCTCATAAAGTTTTCTTGGCAAGATTTGTTTAGAGGGGCTTGCCCTTGCCTTCCTCTGAGGCTGAGAGAGTGTGACTTGGCCAAGGTCACCCAGTGGGTTTCCATGGCCAACTAGGGATTTGAGCCTTGTTTTCCAGAGTCATTGCCTAATGCTCAGACCACTACAATATCATGTCAAAGCAATTAAAAATATCAGAAGCCTTATGGTAAAGACCGCTGGGAGCTGCAGGTCAACAACATCTGGAGGGCCACATCATTCCAAGCCCTAAAACAGAAGGCTGTAGTAAATGGATTCTCTTAAGGGCAATCTCACTCTTTCATCCATTCCTTCACACATATAAAGCACATGTGTGGAGAGGAAATTTTGAACAACACATAAGGTGTTCTTGGAACTGCACCAAACCTTGGAAACGGAAAGGCATGTTCTTGCTATAAGAATTCATTGTCGTCCTTACATGATGAAGCATTTATTGCTTTATAAACACTAAGGTGCAGCCTTCCAGATGTTGGTATGCAAACCCCAGAAGTGCCAGGCAGAACAGCCAATGGTGAGGAATGCTGAGAGTTCCAGATCAGCCACATCTGGAGTATCTGGAGTATCCCATCTCTGCTGAAAGGAAAAACAATGGTAGACTCATTGTCTTCCACCGCTCACATACCTGCCAACATTTCAAGATGAGAACTGGGACACATGTGGCCCTGCAACATCACAATGTGTTCACAATGGCAAAAGTTAATAATGAGGAAGGACACATAAGCAAGGAGAGCCTGCAGGAGTTTACTTTTGCCTGTGTCTACTGGGAAGAGCAGGTCTCCACCTTTCACTTCCTGTCTTACTTTGAACTCACTTTGCAGCAATTGAATAAGATGAGGATGAAGGGGGAAAGTAGCAGTAGGAGAAAGAAACATACATATATACTGTTGGCCCTCTGTATCCTCAGATTCTTTATCCATGGATTCAACCATCCATGGCTTGAAAATATAAAAAAAATCCAAAAAGCAAAGTTTAATTTTGTCATTTTATAGAAGGGACACCATTTTACTATGCCATTGTATT